TAAGAGTCTCTGGGAGATTCTCCAGGTTTTCCATGTTTCTGTCAGTGTAGCTAAGCTGCGACTTGTCATGCACAGGGCTGGACCTGCTTCCCTTCGGGGTGACATTCCTGCTGAGCTTCTGGGAGGTGCAATACGGCATCATCGGCGGTGTGGCCGTCTCTGGAGCCCTGCTGCTGTACGCCATGGCCAGACCCAAGATGAAGGTGGAACGACATTACTGATGAGATGCTTTTAAAACCAAACATTTGGGCTACCCAGTGCCTTTTATAAAATTGTGCAATATTTGGATCTTGTAAGATTTTACAAAAAATAATAATCAGTGATCTGTTGCACAAAAGAGGAAAAAAATCTTCAAACTTTTTCAGAGCTGCAGCTGCAGCTATTTTTTAAAAATCATAAACCACGTTTTCTTTCCTGTGCAGGTGTCTGATCACGGTGTGTTGGTGATCGAGCTGAGCAGTGGGCTCAGCTTCCCTGCTGTGGAGCATCTCAGCCACATCATTCACACTCAGGCTCTGCAGAGTAAGAGCATCTCCATCCGGTCCTGTTGGAAAAACTTTAGTTCCTCGTCTTCACATGTCCACCTTCTCTCCGCCAGCCTGTCCTCCGAGGTCCGTGGTGTTGGACTGCCACCATGTGAGCATCATAGATTACACAGTGATCAGCGAGCTGACGGACCTGCTGAGGCAGTTCAAACTGAGAAAGGTCAAGCTGATGTTTTCCGGGCTGCAGGTGAGCCTCTCGTCCTTTCGGTCTTTGGCCGATAACTAATGGAGTAAACAGTCGTCACCTTTAATCTCCCTCTCGTCTCTCCGCCTGGTTCAGCCCGCCGTTCTGAAGGTTCTCCTCGCAGCTGATCTGCAAGGCTTCAGATACACCGACAGCGTGGAAGAGGCGCTGCAGACGGAGTCGGCGAGCCTTTTCGGCGACTAAAACCCGACCTGCACGGACCTCCACCTGCACGGACCTCCACCTGTTTGGGTTTAGACAGACGCAGCTGATCCGTCTCTTATGTGGGATGTTTAAAACACACGTTACTGACAGTCGAAGGAACCTCTCAGGAACATGCACTTAAGATTTCATCTGCTGAATGTGTGTTATTGCCTTTATTATCTACCTAAATTAACATTCCAGTTTGTTTGAGGAGAGGCTCAACACCATGTTGTTTGTTATAGTGTTTTACACTATAAATATCTTTTTTTTGTTTTCTTCCATTGACCAAGTTAGATTTTAAGAATTAAAAAAGTGGAAGAAAAAAAAATGGAAGTGATGCTTCAAGAAAAACTAACATTAAATAATAATGTGTTTTCTTAATTTATGAAGGATTTTAGGGAAAGTTAAATATTTTGTTTATGTGGATGGAGAAGTTCTGTCAAAGTGAAATAATGCATAAATGTCTTTGACGATATACATACTTTTTACTGGAATTTGTATCAAATAAACACTATTTTTTTTATTAAAGACTTACATTTTGACAAGGAAAAACATTGTTCATTTCTCAGTTTTTCAAATAGGATCGTTTTCTTTAATAGATGAAATAATTGTCAAAAAACAGTTATTTTTATTTACTCAGTTTATCTTTGAGTAAAACAAGTTTAATGATTTGAGAGCACACGTGAAAGAAGAAACCTGTTGTTTCGCTGTACGGTATTTTGCACTGTGCTGGTGTAAATGTTAGTTAATGACCTTGGTGAAGGTCACGAGCCGAAACGAGTTGGTTTCTCAGGTGTAACTGGAGTCTCCGTCTCACCAGATCTTTGTCCCTCTGCAGGCACCTTGAAACGTGATTTTTTTTTCTAGAAACGTTGAAATCTCTTGATTAGTTACACTTCCTCTACTGTACAGAACAGAGTGAAACATTTAGCCTTGAATGAAGGACTTTGATTTTAGTGGGACCCACAAGTTACATAACGGAAAACGCATAAATATTTATTATCTAATAGATTGTTGGTGATAAATCACAATGCCTGTGATTCAAACAGATATTTTTCTAAAAAAAAAGTTAAAATATTTTTTGTTTAGTATTTTTCCTCGGATGTCTCAATGTTTGCTCTCATCCAGGCAAAGTATTCAGTCACAAAAGCATAAATGAAAGAAAGAAAGAGAAGAAAGATTTGGAATATAATTCAAAAAGCCAAATAACTCAAATTCCAACTCTAGAGGGCTCAGCATGTTAGATTTTGTTTTGTTTTTTTTAGAAAAACTGATTAAATGTGGCTTGTTTTAAATGTAGAAGCCTCTTCTCACTAGAAGAATCTGCATCACTTAGATTTGTAAAGATGTGGGATTCAACCAAAAACACTTTCGACGTTTAAGAACTGCTTTATATACGAAGGTAATCAAGAATAAAGCTGTCCAAAAACTAACCTCTGTGTTATATCACCTTTCCTTTCAACAACACTCAATAAGTCAATAAGTGTTTTCTGAACTGAGGACACTCATTGTTGAAGCTTTGTTGGTGAAATTCTTTCCATTCTTGCTTGACGTTCAACTTCAGTTGCTCAACACTTCTGGGTTTCAATTGTTCTATTTTGCGCTTCATAATGCTCCACATTTCAATGAGAGACAGGTCTGGACGGCAGGCAGGCCAGTCTGGAACCAACTGAGCCACACTATTGTTGTAACACGTGCAGAATGTGACTTGGCATTGTCTTGCTGGAATAGGCTGAAATGACGCTGTTTAGATGGCAGCATATGTTGATCCAAAACCTGTGTGTACCGTTCAGATTGATGCTAGTTCAGACATGCCACAGGCACCAACACACACCGCATCACATATGCTGGTTTTTGAACTTTGCACTAACAATCCTGACAGTCCTTGCAGAGATTTCTCCAGATTCTCTGAATCTGTTGATGATATAATGGACTGTATACAATACAATCCCTGAATTTCTTGCAATTATATGTTGAGAAACATTGAGAACTGTTTGACTATTTGTTCACAGAGTGGTGACCTTTGCCACGTCCTTTCTGGTGAATGACTGGGCCTTTAAGGGATGCTCCCTTTGTACCCAATCATGACACTCAGCAGTTTTGAATTAACCGTTCACTTGTGAAATGTCCCAAACAAATTGTTTTTTAACCATTTCTCAACTCTTCCATGTTTGTACCAAGATACTTCCGGGAACAATTTATGTTAAAAATAGATAACATGTCATAACATGGAATAAAATATTAAGTAAATCATTTACATTTAAACGGCAGACTAAGTTTAGAGGCATTGTAAAGAATGATAAGAAGTTATAGGATAATACAATTGCATTATGAGTCAAGTTCTTAAATAAATCATGCATCATAAAGCAATTCTCCAAGCCCATAAGGAAACACAATGTGTGCTATAAATTGAATCAACCAGAAAGGTGAAGTATTGAGGTTAAAATATCCATATTAACCAAAGAAAATATGACATATACATGATAAGAGTTTTTCCTTTTCTGTGTCCAAGTTAACTAAACAAATAAGGAAAACAGGTGTTTGAATGTTTACAGACCAAGGTGCATTATCATAAGAATTAACTGGGACAAGTATAAAATCATCAAAAATGGGCAGATAAAATGTGTAAAATTTACAGACTTTTGTTTTTTGTTTTTTTGGTAATGACACAAGTTGAAGACATTTCCTGCAGGGAGAAACATGCATTTCCTAAGTATGATTTTGGCCCATTTCTCCTCAGAAACTGATTTTAATTCTTGAAAGTTTCTCTGGAGTTTTCCATCCACTCTAATCTTCAGTCTTTCCATGAATTTTCATTTGGAGTCCATTTGCATAACAGGTCTTCTCTGGTCGCTTTGTTTCCCTCTCTTCCTTTCTACCTGTTTTTTTGCCCTTATGTGTCACTTATGAGCAAAAAACATTGAATTATGGTCACATATGCCTTCCATCCATAACTATCCATATCTCCCAGCCCAACAACATTAACTATCAGTGTGAATTCAAACATGTATCTTTGCATTTCTATTTAGTCTTGATACTTTGCATAAAGGAGCATTGCCAACATTGTAAGTCTTACAAAGAGTACGAAATGTTCAGGGTGTGCCACCATGAGTAATTCCCACTGCAGATAAAACAGCTAAACACGTGAGCTGATGACCCTGACCTCTTTTTTCCAGACCAGCAATTAGAACATTTTCCTTTCTATTTCATATGAAGCTGTAAAGTTTTATAACTTCAGCTTAAGTTTCTCTTCTTCTTTGATTAATAAGTAATCTTTAACATCAATCCCCATCACTTTGATGCACCTATAAATTCTCACCCTGTCCAGAGACATTTAGTTTCTTCCTTAAGGAAAGCAATACTGCAGACTAAGATCGTTGCACCAATAGATTTGTTTGTTTGTTTGTTTGTTTTTTTCATCAGAAGAGAGTGTTTTCTTTGCTGTGCATTTTTCAAAGATGGAAGTGCCCTGGACAATATGTATGATCCTACTTTTACAAATGTTGACAAGAACCACTTCAGGTAAAACTTGGATTTCTTTTCCTCCATCTTGGATTTAAAACACAAATGTGTTGCAGATCAAGTCAAAAATAAAAATATGTAAAAAAAAATCTATGGAAAATGTATTCTCATGTATTTGACAAGAAATGTATGCGATATGTCTTGCTGGTGGAGTGTTTCACCTAATAACATCTACATGCATCTAAATAACCTTCTACTTTGTTTTTTTGCAGCAACACTGGCCACCAGCTGTGATTCTTGCCATGGTGAAGCCTCCTGCTTGGAGTCCAGAGAAAGAGGCGACTCTTTTACCAGCTTCTCCTGTTCTTGTAGAGATGGTTTTGTTGGTGATGGTCTGACCTGCTACGACAGAAATCTCTGCAACAACTCTTCCTGCTGTGAGCGAGGTTATCGGTGGTCTCCAGACCTCGGCTGTGTCGACGTTGATGAGTGCTCTCAGCAGAGCTCCCCGTGCCCAGCGCATCAGATTTGCTCCAACAGACCAGGGTCCTATGAATGCCTGCAGCCTTCCTCCAACAGCAGAGCAGGTCTCTCCTCCCAGTCGGTCCAGTTCAGATGTGGAGACGCAGTTTGTCCTCCAGGCATGGACTGCATCCAGACCGATGGCAATGCCAGATGTGCCGATCCCTGTGAGCACTACTCTGTAGTGGATGATGACTGGCGTTCAACAAACAATACTTCAACAGATATTCACTGTGATCGAGACATTGAGTGGCGAGGCTGGTATCGAATGTTTTTGGAACAAAAAAGTGCTCAGATTCCAGAGAGGTGCATCGCTGAGAGAAGGTGTGGGACACATGCTCCGTTGTGGATCACAGAATCTCATCCAGGGGTGTTAGATGGAATTGTAAGTCGTACTGTATGCTCTGCCTGGAGTGGCTCCTGCTGTTATTTTAGCACAAACACGGTCTATGTCAAACTCTGCCATGGAAACTACTATGTCTACAAACTAGCAAAGCCATCAACATGCAGTCTTGCATATTGTGCAGGTAATGCTTTATTTATTTTTTATTTATTTATGTCCAATATGATAGAAGTATAAAATCACACACATTAACAAGGAATGCAAAGGACACATATTTTTGTACCACAGTAATCTTAACATACTCGAAAAGGAGTAGGAAGCAGTAAGAAATTTATGAAGTCCTACCCATAAACTCATACCTTATTTTCAGATGGACCCTCATTATTAAATCAAATAAAAACCTATATATATATATATAAAATAAACATAGGTTAATTAATTTTCCATTTTACATATGGTTTATATATGTCTAACTATGTACCTCCATACCCACACACACACTTATATGTGTTAGCCTCAATTTACATATACACATTAGTGCCATCTTTCACCCATATTTCTATATCTTGGGAAAATGACTCTTATATTTCCTTTTAAATTGTATAAAATTTTCATTTTGTTTTAACTCCTCATTTAACTTGTTCCATAGCTTTACCCCATGGATTGAAATACAAAAGCTTTTTCTTTCGTATACTACGAATCCTTAAGTTTGAGTAAGTTATGGCTTCCCTTCTCTTTCAAAAAACATGTTTTGTATGAGTTCACGTATCAGTTTATTTGATCCCTTAAATATAATTTGAGCAATTTTAAATTCCACCAGATCTTCGAATTTAAGAATTCTAGATTTTAAGAATAACAGGGTTTGTGTGCTCATAAAAACTGACATTATGGATGATTCTAACGGCTCGTTTCTGTAGGATACTTAGTGGACGTAAAGAGCTTTTGTAATTAATTCCCCACACTTCTGAACAGTATGTTAAATATGGCAAAGTCAGAGAATTATAAAGAATATAAAGTGATTTATTATTCAGAATATGTCTAGCTTTAGCCAGGATTGATATGCTTCTACTTAGTTTATTCTGCAGGTGTTTAATATGAGATTTCCAACTGATTTTGTTGAAATTTAACCAAAACCCTTTCTAGAGTTACACCCTGTATCCGAGTTTGAATTTGAGTATTGTAAGTTTCCAAAAACCACAATTTTAGTCTTGTCCAAATTTAGTGATAATTTTAATGCCAAACCGTTTCTGTAATTTATTGATTTTGTCATGAGGTGTGGGTGGATGATGGTTAAGGAGAACGCAGGCAGGCCCAGGTCGGAGATGAAAAAGGTGATTTAATGAAGAGTATTTGCCCAAACAGTCCACAATGAGCAGGCAGCACAGCGTTCCGAAGCAAACGCTAATCACTGGTAGCAACTGATCTTAAAGACAGGAAACGTGAGCAGACTTCAACAAAGGACTTGACAGTGAGACTGTGATGACTATGACATGCAACTATGACAAACGATTGGGTAGACGTACAGGACCCGACCAGAGACAAAGACAATAAGTGGACTTAAATAATCAGGGGAACCAGACACAGCTGGGAACAATCAAGGGGAAAGACAGGACAGCACAGAGACTCACAAGAAACAGAACATAGAATAAACACAGAGAAACTTCAAATCCCCACAGATTTCTGAGGGAACTATAGAAATATGTTGTAAGTTTTCACCAGAGACTAGACTATTTGTGTTGTCAGCAAATAACACAAATTTTAATACATTAAACACTTTGCTTATGTCGTTTATATACAAATAAAATAAAACTGGTCCCAGTACTGACCCTTGAGGTACCCCACACACACAATTTCCAGACAATCAGATTCAATATCTGTCAAGATCCGTGTTTTTGTGTGTTTATTTTTGAGTTTTTCCTGTGTAGTCCTGTTCCTGTGAGTCTCGGTCCTGTCCTCCCCGTTGATTGCTCCCCATGTGTGTCTCATTTCCCCTGATTACCCGTGTGTATTTAATCCCACCTGTGTCTGTGTTCCTCGTCGGATCCTTGTTGTCTATCTCTAATGTAGTCGGCACTCTCCAGTGGAACTGGCAAGTCCTGGTTTGTGCTGGCTCCCGTTCAGTCCGTATAGTCTGTTTTCCAGTAGAACTGTTTAAGTCCTGGTTTGCGACGCTCTTGTTTGATGCTGTCAGTTGCTACTGGTTGTTAGCTGCGTGCTAGTTGTTCCTGCCGTGCTGCCTGACTTGGACTCTATGAGCTACATTCATCATTAAAACCTTCATTATCATCACCTTACCTGGGTCTCAGCGTTCTCTCCTCACCATCAACAACCACACCCATATGACAATATCTCCTATCTTTAAAACTTTAAAATCTTTAAATAACTCCTCATCCAGTCCAAAACTACTCCCTGAATTCCATAACATTATAATTTTTTAATTAAGACATTATTTATTGTGTCAAAAGCTATCTTTAGAACTACAAATCCCCCGACAGCTAATTTCTTACTATCTGTTGCATTGGTAATTTCTTCTATTAAGTCAGTGGCGGCTAGTGATGTTGATCGATTTGATATTGACTGTTGCTTAGTGTATGTTTGTCTATGAATTTTTCTAGTTTCTTCTTAAAAGATTTTTCTAGAATTTTAGAGAACTTAGAGAGAAAAGAGACAGGTCTATAATCTGTGAAGATGTGATTATTGCCAGTTTTATACATTGGTATGATCTTTGCTATATTCCTTTTGTTTCATTTGATTCATTTCTAACGTAATAACATAGTCTCCTCTATTCACATTGTTTTTATCAAAATAATCTCTTAATCAATGTTATGGAAAATGTTATTTTACTTCTGTTTTTCAGAAGTCAAAGAGCTGCCTGTTCAACTTACTTGTGGCCGAGATAAACTCCAAGTAGGACTGGATCTCAATAGCATGCAGTCCTTTGGTTTGGATCCATTCTCTGGACACTTTGCTGCTCGCAACTGCTCAAGGTTCAGAGTTCACGGGGATGTCGTGTGGTACGAGGTGGAGGCTCGAGCCGGCGCCTGTGGAAATATAATGACGGTGAAAATCTTTTGTTTTTTGCTGTGTGTGTTGGATTCTTATCTTGTCACTATCACAGTTTCACAGTCAAACTGAAACTCAGAGACCATTATCTGTGTTATCTTGTTGGGTCACTAGTGGAGAACGAGATGGCCGATTACTCAGGTAACTTCAGTCAACCGGGCCACTAAACCAGTCATTCTTCACAAACACGTGTGCTTATTAAAAAAATAATGTCATAAACCATTTTTGTAGACAAAATAATAAAGAAATGCCTGTGCCATGAAGACCTTTCTGATTGCTGGCTGACTTATAATTGCTAAAAGCTTAAAATGAAAACTTACAACAAATGGATAAAAAATATTAAGTTGTTCAGAAATGGTAAACAACAATGATGAAAGCATAAAATTAATTTAGATTGTTAAAAGGTAATTTATACAACCTGCTCATTCCAGGAACAGAAACTACTTTAAATAACCTACATTGACTTTTGACAGACTTTAAAGATAATTTCCAATTTTTCTTCATAGCACATTTTAAGCTTCAAAAATGTCCAATCTGTCCACAGGAACATTTTGAGTAATAAATAATAACTAATAATAAGTAATTATCTAATAAAAGCTCCAGAATGTTACTCTATAGAAAGTTCTGGAAAGTAACAGGTAAATACAGACTGTAGTGCATAGACTGGTAAGTCAGTATACTTCAAATACAAGCAAGTTTAAATAAACAGATGCAAAATATGTTGAGGTTTTTATGAGTATGGATTGTAAAAAAACGTCTGCTGCTATCAAAAGAATAAAAGCTGAAACCAAACCTTTGCTTGTTGCACTTATTTTTATGAATGTTGTCAACGTGACAGCACAGCTGGCTGATCCAGGAAGTTAGAAAAGCTGGATTTTAAAACTCCCTTTAGTTAATGCTTTGCTGATTAAATTGTTTAAAATAAAAAGAAGAAACAGAAATGAACATACTCATGACAACATCGATTCTCAACAAGATCAAAAATATCTCTGTACTGTGTTCTTTACTCTCAGTGATAAGTATGAAATTAAGACTTGGTCCAAAAAATAGATTTTTACAAAGGTGGCTTTAACTTGTGTAACTGGTAGACAAATGATCCAGTGTACCCACACCACTGCTGCCTACAGGACTTTTACTCTGATGTGATAAATTAATCTCCTGTCTTCCAGACCAACGGTACACATGCCACCTTTGGCAACAATTTATTCCTCTACTCATCAAACAATGAATCCTTCCTGCTCCCCAAGAGATTTCCGTTCTCCTGTTCGTATCCCTTGGAAACTGACACCAGTCTGAATGTGGCTGTGAGACCAACTTTAGAGTAAGTCGCCCTCTGATCAGTATAACCTGAGCTGGTAGATTCTGTGGGGAGAGTTTATCTCTTTAATTAACTAAATGAATTTTCCTCCAGCTTTTGACCACAAATTAGTGTTAGTTCATCCCAATCCTCCACAATTTCACACATCTCCTCTGCATCATCGTTGCAATATATCAATGAGCTTGATAGATTGATAGATTGATAGATTGATAGATTGCGCTCTAATCATGAAAAGATTTTCAAACAATCTAAAATAACACAAAAGCAGAATAAAAACAAGTCTTGGCAAATAAATTCCTGAACTGCTTGATAAAGATGCTTGTCGTTTTGCCAGGTGGGAACGAGGTATTTCAGGTACAGGTGTAAAGGCCACAGCCTCCATGTCTCTGTTCCTGGACTCCAGCTACAACGACACTTACCCAGCAGGCCAGGTCACCCTGCCAGTGGGCTCGCCGTTGTACGTCGGCATCTCTGTGGAGGAAATGGACTCAAACTTGGCGGTTGTTCTGGAGAACTGCTTTGCCACTCACACGTCAAACCCTGAAGACCCGGTACGATACCCCCTCATTGAGAACAGGTGTGTGCTCCTCCTCAGCCTCAGTAAACACCGTTTGCTGTAAAGGTTAAAACTTTCATGCTTTCCTCCGTCATCCCTTCCAGATGCTCCACGGATCGCCGTCAGGTGTCAGTGGTTCAGAGCGGCTCGTCCCTCCAGGCTCGTTTCACTGCTCTGCTGTTCCTGCTGGGGGAAGAATATCGAGAAATTTATCTTCACTGTAGCCTGAGCCTGTGTGACCAGAGACGCTCCAACTGTGTCCCGGTGAGCAGAGGCTTAAAATTAAACACAACATGCCAAAATGCTGATATATATATATATATATATATATAAAATCAAAATAATAATCCTTTTACATTGTTTTATTATTTCTTGTTTTCTATCTCAAACAAACTTCTTGGTTGACTGAAAATATTTCCTAACCTCAACCTGCCAGGATGTGAATTATTTGAGGATTAATTAACTGAACATACTTTATTTCATCAGTAGTTTATGATTCATGATGAATAAATAAATAAATTGCTTTAATTATTTACCTTTCACAGGTTTGTCATAGCAGAAAGTTGCGTTCTGTTTCAAACTCTGCTGCATTGAAGCCCATCACCACTGGACCAATAGTCTGTAAGTTTAACTAATAGGTAGTTTATCAGAAGTAATAAAGATTCAATGATCATGTTTCTTCTTTTTTCTGCTCATCTGCAGGGACCAAATGAAGAAATTCATCACTTCTCATTACATCACTTCTGTAATGTAATGAGGTTAGTTGAAATAAGGAAAATGTGGCATTTAATTGACCTGAGTTTTCTGATCTGTTACTGAAATTAAACTGAAATGAAGTATATGTTGTTTGTTTTATTTGTATTTTATTGTCAAATTTAATTGTATTTCTATCTTTTACCCTTATGTAATGCTGTAATTATTGTAAAGTAAATAATTAAAACCTGTATTACCTTTTTGTTCTTCTGCCCTCTTGTGGCAGGCAGTGTTATTACACATTTTTAGTGTAATAATAATACAGTCGAAATGTCATTAGCCCCCAAACAGTAATTTATTTTAGGGGTTTTTACATGTTGTTACCAGTATGGCCAACAGTTGCATATATGATTTTTATTAAAAGAAATCTTCAACAGCAGGGGTGTCCAGAGTCGGTCCTCGAGGGCAGGCATCCTGGACGTTTTAGTTCTGTCCCTGGTGGCAGTAACAACCTTTCAGCTTGTCAATGTTCCTCTTAGGGCTTCTAGTGAGCCATCATTTGATCCAGGTGCTTTAAACCAGGGAGAGAACTAAAACATGCCGGATGCCGGACCTTGAGGACCAACTTTGGACACCCCTGATTTATAGCATCGCATCAAGTTTATATTTAACTGGCTGTTTCCTCCCAATCAGTCAGAACTGAGAGAGAGAGAGAGAGAGAGAGGCAACAAAGACTGAGCGAACTTGTAAAATTAATTCTTTGCATAATGTCTTGGTGGTAGTGAAATTTAGGTATTTAGTAAATCAAAGAGGGGTTAAATTTGTATCACACTCCACACAAATAAAAAGAAATGACAATGATGACAAGTAAATTACATGAACTTATTTTTCTTTTAGTTTACTACTTGATTTAGTACTGCTCATTTAAAATAAATTAGGTTTACTTACTCACTAATCTTAAGCTTAATTTACTTTTTTTAGGAAAGGAGTTTGCATAATTATTTTAAGTAACGTGAACTAATTAGATGTAATGTAATGTAACCCTGATTAAATTATTTCAGAAGCCAAAACACACTGGTGAGTATCTGCAGTCGCCACCTCACTGTGTTCTTTATTTTAGTTACACCTCATGTAGTGAACAAAACACTGACTTAAACATTTACATTTGAATACAGAATTTTACATAATGGGAAAAATAACCCAACATGATGTAACATTAACAATCAAACTGTCACCGATATATCACAATAATTGTGATTTACTGAAAATATTTCTCCAATACAAGTTAGTTTTTTTTCTTGATGTGTCAAATAAGGTATGTTCTTTTCCAGATAGTATGGGTTTATAACAGTGCCATGAAACTACACTGCCCCTTGACTTCTGGGAAGCAATTATTGCTTACAATTAATCTGGGAAAGATTTGAAGAATAATTTATAAAGAAATTGCAAGAAGCCAAAGAATTCCAGTTCTTTCTCCATTACATGGTAATATTTACAATAGTAAATTGAGAAAAGACTGACCAAATGAGACTTGTTCTAAATGTAGAAGGGCTTTTTTCTCCAAAAGAATCTGGCTGTACAGCTTGGTCTCTCTGGAGTCCTCACAGAGGTGTAGATGGGCATCAGATAAAGAGGTCACTGCTCATTATAACGGACACCAAACACAACTCAGTTCTGAGAGAGAAAGAGACTAAATGACTTATTGTGACATAATTTTAGAACTTTAACAATCAGAAAAAAAATGTAATTGGCCTGAGTCTATGATTAGGAAAATTCTTTGGAAAATTTGTGAAACACTGACTCAATCAGAGAAATGCGTATTTGTCTTTAGATATTTTATTTAGAAAATCAGAGTAAGTCTTATAGACCAGCATGTGAGAGAAGAAAAGAGAGAAAACACAGGACGAAGAAGTGAACCTTAACACATACAATTCTCTTTTTATATATTTTCAGTCATGTACTTGTTAGCCCTTATAAGAGGGACAATTATAAGAGAAGGAATGATCACAAGATGAAACCAGTGCACCTTCACTTACTCTTGTATTGAGTGAAGAGAAAAGCGCGTTAGTCCCCCTAGTGGACTCTTTTGACTATGGCACCAACGCACCCCTCTTCCAGACAAGGGACCCAACTACATTCCTTGCACACCCCAAATCAAACTAAATTAATGCAGATAATCAAAACAGTTGGATTTAATATTAACAAGGTCAAATGAGTATTATACCCTGCAACATACACGGTGCCTTCCATCCAGCTCTGTCCTGTAGGGAGTTTCTCTCAGTTTCTCCCATCTCTGGTTAATTGGTAACTCTGTCCCTAAATCAAACCTGGTTCACAGGAGTTTCGGTGGAAAGGAGAAGAAAAACATGTCCTCTGAAACCTCCGTTGTCAGTTCCACAAGAAAAACACTTCTGAATGTTCATGAACTTTCATTATCAGTTCATTCTTCCCAGTAAATAAGCTAATGTTTTATTTTCCCACACAGTTTACTTCCTTCATTAATAAGTAATATCCATGAAATCATGGATACCATTGGATTTCAGCTACCCTCGCTTTGAGTTGTCTTTTGTACACAATGACAGACCTATAAATTCTCACATTCACTCCATGAACTCTCACACGTACCTCAGTCACCAAGGTAAGAGAAAACACTATAAAAGTCATGAATTTCTAGATCAGAACACTGTAAATATGTTTAAAAATCTTCTTCTCTTTTCTAATTAGTACAGTGCGTCGGTCCATAATGGAGGTTCCTTGGCTTGTGCTTTTGCTCATGTCTTTGCAGATGTTTACGCCAAACACTTCAGGTAAAACCTGATAAATTGATTATCTTTCTACCAGGATAAGTGTAATAAAACTACATTTGACTCTGTTACCTTTTTTTTTCAGCAACACTGGTCACCAGCTGTGAATCTTGCCATGGTGAAGCCTCCTGCTTGGAGTCCAGAGAAAGAGGCGACTCTTTTACCAGATTCTCTTGTGCTTGTAGAGATGGTTTTGTTGGTGATGGACTGAGCTGCTATGACAGAAATCTCTGCAACAACTCTCCCTGCTGTGAGCGAGGTTATCGGTGGTCTCCAGACCTCGGCTGTGTCGACGTTGATGAGTGCTCTCAGCAGAGCTCCCCGTGCCCAGCGCATCAGATTTGCTCCAACAGACCAGGGTCCTATGAATGCCTGCAGCCTTCCTCCAACAGCAGAGCAGGTGTCTTTCAGGGAGCACTCCGACTGGTCAATGGAGGAAGCTCCTGCTCTGGCAGAGTGGAAATCTTTCACAGTGGACAGTGGGGGACAGTGTGTGATGACATCTGGGACAACATTAATGCTCAGGTGGTGTGTCGACAGGTGGGCTGTGGAAGAGTAATTTCAGCAACATCAAGTGCACATTTTGGACAGGGAACTGGACCTATATGGCTGGATGATGTGAGGTGCACAGGAAATGAACCGCAGCTATCAGAATGTCAACACCGAGGGTTTGGTATTCATAACTGTAATCATGGCGAGGACGCTGGTGTTGTCTGTGAAGGTAAAACCATGTTACTCAATTTTTGCATGTACTAATTCTTATGTTGTATATTTCCAATACTTTTCTGCATTATCACAACAATTCATTGTTTTATCCAAAGAATCCCTTACTTATCCTGTTTGTCACAAATTCAACAGAGAAAGTGAATGTTTACATTAGTCATTGTTATGGAAAATGTTATTAACTTTCTGTTTTTTCAAAGAGCTGCCTGTTCAACTTACTTGTGGCCGAGATAAACTCCAAGTAGGACTGGATCTCAATAGCACGCAGTCCTTTGGTTTGGATCCATTCTCTGGACACTTTGCTGCTCGCAACTGCTCAAGGTTCAGAGTTCACGGGGATGTCGTGTGGTACGAGGTGGAGGCTCGAGCCGGCGCCTGCGGAAATATAGCGACAGTAAAAATCTTTCATTTTTTGCTGTGTGTGTTGGATTCTTGTCTTGTCACTATCACAGTTTCACAGTTAAACTGAAACTCAGAGACCATTATCTGTGTTATCTTGTTGGGTCACTAGTAGAGAACAAGATGGCCGATTACTCAGGTAACTTTAATCAACCGGGCCACTAAACCAGTCATTCTTCACTAACGTGTGTCTCAGTCCAATATGGTGCTTATTAAAAAATAATATCATAAACCATTTTTGTATCCCACACCACTGCTGTCTACAGGACTTTTAATCTGATGTGATAAATTCATTTTCTTGTCTTTCAGATCAACGGTACACATGCCATATTTGGGAACAATTTATTTCTCTACTCAGCAAACAATGAATCCTTCCTCCATCCCACGAGATTTCCGTTTTCCTGTTCCTATCCTTTGGAAACTGACATCAGTCTGAATGTGGCTGTGAGACCAACGTTAGAGTAAGTTGCCCTCATAGTTTATTGTAACCCTATTAACATTCTTGCCATAAACATGAGCTGGCAGATTTCATCTAAACCACCTGGGAGTTTCTGAATGTTTACCTCATCTAACAATTATTGAAATACATTATGCAATTAACTAAAGTTCCACTAACTTTTGACCACAAATTAAAGTTAATTCAACTACCTCCATAATTGAACAAATCTCCTCTGCATCATCTCACCAACTGAGCTACATGTGCACTACAATGAGCTCAGCATCCTCCTGATATTTTTGCCCAACTAGATTGTAGGGAAACAATATAAGTAAGCGACTGTAATACCTCAAGATTTTCAAATCAAGTTTATTTGCACAGCACATTTCAGCAACAAGGCAGTTCAAAGTGCTTCATGTCATAAAAATATCACACAGTAATCAATTATGAAAGAAGCGATAAATAATGGATTTCGTCCAATGCTATCACCAAAATAATCAAGCAAATACGCATCAAATATGTTGATCCAATGTTGCACTCTAAGCAGGTGGGATGTTAGCCTTGATTTAAAAGGAACTCAGTGTTTCAGTATATTTGCAGTTTTGGGGAAGTTTGTTCCAAATTTGTGGTGCATTAAAGCTGAATCCTTCTCCCTGGTTGAGAACCAGTAGACCTGAGAGGTCTTGAAGGTTGATACAACAGCAACAGATCTTTAATGTATTGTGGAGCTAAGCCATTCAGTGATAAACTAAAAACAGTATTTTAAAGTCTTTTTGAGAGAATGTCTGAGTCCAGAATTGAGCTTTACATTACTTTAATTAACTCTTGAGGTTCCTCCATACCTTATTCATATATGAATAAGGGCAGGTGTGGGTGTGTGGTTTTCTATAAAGATAAATAAACAAGTACAAAGTGTAAGTGCTTGTATGTAAATCAGTGATTCTTGAGAATAGGGACAAAACAGGTCCTATGGATAAAGCATGAAATTTGAATAAAATATACACAAA